ATGTCTATGACTGGGCTATTTGGGTTTACTAAAGCTGTTCTTCCCCCCACCACCACAACTGATGAAAATCTAAGGATTTACTTCAAGAACAACTAAACTAAAATGTATATATAACCTCTATGAGGTTATATAGCTATGATGCTATTTCTGGTTACTTACACTAAATATATTTATGTTTTTCAAGTATATCAAGCCTTCTAAAGTACAAAATTTAGATAAACACAGTAACAAAAAGTTAATGTACTGATATTACATTAAATAATAAAAATTTATTGCTAAATTTTCCATTAAAATTTTAACCATGGCTTTTTTAAGTTTTTGTCATTACAGTTCTGATCCTTCTGGGGCATTTACAATCAAGTCCATAAAAAATGACTCTAATAAGTGCTTATGTGTCAACCAGGTTAACTTTGTAGACATCTGCTTTTGTTGGATTTTATTTTATATTGTCCTTGTCTAAAACCCCATTGCCTAAGGGCCACTCCTTCTAAGCCTCTTTGTTGCTTAAATTTGGCCAAAAGGGTCTAGTTGGCACTGACTCCCACCTGATCTGCTCATTATTCTTCCTCCCATGTGAGACCAAAACTAAACAAACAAACAAAATCCAGGAAAGAACAAATCCTCACAATGAAGAAAGAAAATGACCAATCAAGAAAGATCTTTGGTGTACGGCCATACCACCCTAAAAGTGCCCAATCTCATCTGGTTTCAGACGCTAAGCAGGGTCAGGCCTGGTTAGTACTTGGATGGGAGACAGATCTTCAGAGGAGAATGCTCAGAGACAAGCAGTTTGGAGACAAGGGGAGAATGCCATCAAAGTTCAAATGGAGTCTCTCATGCCAGACCTCTCAAAAATAACCAAGGCCAAGAGGATTGATGAAGCAGTTCTTATACATGTATGGCTATCTGGCATTAAAGCCAGATACAAACTCCTATTTTTAGACAGGGTCTTCTACTTAAATAGAGACAAAATGACTATTTTTACTGGCTCTAAACATGTCCTTTGATACTTAAAGAGGGTGGTTTCAACTTTTTTTTAAAACAACATGTTTTCTTGGACATACATACTGATAATATATTGTTGCCATGGTAATTCTACTCAGTTAAAAAAAAGATACTGTCTGGGTAAAAAAATAAAGTGTCCAGCCATTAAAACCCCATTAGAGGTGCCCTTTTGTTGTTGTCTTGTCTATCCCCACTACAGTTAAAGTAGCAGAGATTGCTCCTTGGATCCACCATAGTTGAGTCAAGCCAGCTTCTCTAGAGTGGCAGTGCATCCAGCTTCACTGTGTAGGATCATCCTTCAGAACCTGAGTGCCCTTGCTCAGCAGGACTCCACTTCTCGGGAAACAACAGGGGACCAAGAACAGCAGGACGACAGTCCTGCTCTAGTCACCTCCAAAAGCTGACTAATCTATGCATGGCTGAAGCTTGAGGAGTCAACTCTCCAACAGGACAAACAGACTGTTTCCCACACCAGTTATTTCACTGTAATGCATTGTCATTCTTTGTCTGCATCTGTTGCTGTAGTTCTCACCTTAGTCTTCACCATAGGTTTGGCAGAAACCACCCCCACTGACTGGATTTGTTAGGTCTCTTCTATCTCTCTTGGGCAGGATGCATAATTAGTTTATTGTTACTGATATGGTCTCCCTTCATGGTCCCAGAGCCCTCCTCCTGTGACCATGTATGCATACTACTCAGGCAGAAAGTGTTGTCACTAGGACTCTGCTTTTCCATACTTACTGTTCCTGTGCAAGTCTGTCATCAGGTCATGCACTTGCAACCATACCACCTATCTAGCATGCTCCCATGGTAATCAGCATATCTGCTTCAACCCCACTCACCACCCCTGGGTGCAATGGTTAGCGATCCAGAGCATCTGCAACCCTGGGAACCTTGTCAGCTGCACCCAGGTGTTTAACCCTGATAAACTGATGTCAATGCTCTTTGAGGCATGTGCGGCCATAGACCAAGGTGGATGTGGAGGTACAGGCTGTGGCTGTGGGGTCCTAACTTGGAAGACAGCCTGTACATCCAGTGAAAAGTGTATGTGCAGGAGAGACAACTCTTGGCCACGTGATGACGTAGGTTCTTATAATTGCCAGTATTGGAGCTGTGTTTCATGGGCTACATGGGAAAGGACAAAACACGCAGCCCTCCTTCACAAGGGGACAGCTGCCCCAAACTGCCCTCCTGGTACCTGTAATCCTGTAAATTTCACTGTACTTAAGCCATCTGATTGGACATGGGGACATGTAATTGGTATAAGGATAGATAAAAAGGGGCTTGACCCTGGGACTCTGATGCACCTCAAAGTAGTAACTGTTACCCATAAAATTTCCTCATACCAAGTTTTCCACTCCTTTTATGAGGAAATAAGGAGTACATTTTCCATCTCTGCAAAAGCTAAAAAAAACTTGTTCCTCTCACTGGCTGAGTCTATAGCCCAGACACTGAATGTCACTTCATGCTATGTTTGTGGGGGAACCAACATGGGAGACCATTGGCCTTGGGAAGCAAGGGAACTGGACCCATGAGATCCTTTTAATGAGACTGCTTTCCCAAAGCACAGGAAAGGCATCTGGCTCCTAAAGACTTCCATCATCAGGAATTACACTGCCCAGGAGACCCAATGATGGGGATCTCCTAACTACACAGAACCCCACCCACTGGCCAGCTTCTCTACTTTCAGGAAAGCTTGGGACAATCTTACCGCAAACATAGATTGGCAAGTACTCAGGGGGCTACATTGGATCTATGGGAAGCAAACTTATACAGTGCTATCTAGTAACCGGTTTTGGTCTTATTGCTAGGCTCAATCAGATCATCCTTTTTCCTGCTTCCCCTCAGACAAGGTAAAAAAAAAACTGGAAGTCCCCACATATAAAGAAAGATTAAATAGACAAAACAGGTTGCCTTACAAATTGGCAATTGGAAAGATGCCGAATGGCCTCCTGAGTGAATCATCAGTACTACGGTCCTGCCACCTGGGCAGAAGATGGATCCTGGGGCTGTCACATCCCTATATATATATATATGCTCAACCACATCATCAGGCTGCAGGCTGTTGTTAAAATTATAACTAATGAAACTGTAAGAGCTCTCAATTTGCTGACAAAATAGCCACACATGTAATGATGCTATCAAAATATAAACCTCTAAATCAAGATGATGCTCTTTGCCCCTAGTCAGGTCCGAGCATCAAAGAGGGGAATGATGTAGCAGGGAGGTGGGCCAGAAAAGAAACAGATGGCTGTGTTCTGATGAGACAGGGGAAAGGGATGGCAAAGCAGAGAGATAAAACTTAAAGAATTGAAACATGAAGGTCACATAGCACTAGGGAAATAAAATAGCCAATAAAGTCACATGCAGCCATATGTGGGTTGAGCTTTGCTTTTTGCTTCTGTAACCTGCTTGCAAGGGTGTATAAAATGAGACCTCTTTGTTCTCGGGGCTCAGCCTTTGGACACGAGCCTGCTGGGTCTGTGTCAGCACAATAAAATGTTGCTTCCTGCTAAACTGCCTCAGTGTCCCTTATCTCAGCTTGAGACTCCTGCAACACTAGGAGATGGTGGGAAGGGGAGGGATGATAAGTATGTAGGAGTAGAACTAATGGAACTCAAGGCCCATAGGATACAGGGATCAAGGGGTTAGCTAGGAGTCTCAGTGACCCCCAACTGGTTGGCTCAAATGATTGGTTAGGTGACAGTACCAGCCTCTGAGCCATGGAACACAGGAAAACAAACTGATTTGCAGACTGGCATCAGAAGAAAAAGATAGTGAGGTCAGTTTTTGACCTCTGGGCTTTTGAACCTCTGGGCTATGAGTGGAAATGTCTGGTTGACAGTGTTATATGTATAAGTCCAGAGGTCAAGAAGAGCTGGGTGGGCAATGTTAGCTTTGGAAATTCCTGAATTGAATCAGTTTCTCAACCCTGCACAAACACTCACATTACTTTGGGAGTTTAAAAAACTACTGGTGCCTGAGATCTCTCCAAGGATACTGACTGAACCGGACTTTGGGGTGTAGGCACCACCTAAGGCATTTGGGATCTATGCCGTCATGGGGCCAGAGGTTGGGAAGGAGCTCAGGCATGGTTAATTCTCTCCTGTCACCACCATAAATTTCTTAATCCTTTCTTAAACAAGAGGCCCCACACTTTCAGTTTGCATTGGGTCTCACAAGTAATATATCCCATCCTGGAACCAAGCCTGGGTATTTTCAAACTCTTGCTGGTAACTCCAATGTCCACTGGATTGAGAACACCCTACATAGCCTGGAACAGTCTGGGAAATGAGAGACTTGGTGGTGGAGCCTGGGAAACATTCATATTTGGTGATTTGGGAGATGGAGGAAGAGGCTTATCGAGGAATGTTCAGAAGAAAAAGAGATTAATGATCCCAAAACTGAGGAGAAGAGCACAGTCGACATGTTGAAGTGCTACAGAGAAGGGGAGGTCTTGAGTTTTTGGGAGATATCCCAACATCCATTTGGATCTGAAGAAGTAAAGACAGAATCCCAGAGAGCTTGGCCACAGAGGAAGGAGAAAAGAAGGGTGGGTAAAGGAGGCCCCTGATTAGGAAGCTATTTTTCTAAGCTGGGGAAGTCTAATGCACATTAATATTGCTGGGGGAAAGATGTGTGGCTCAAGTAAACAAGTACCTGCCTAGCAAGCACAAAGCCCTGAGTTCAAAGACCAGTACTGCCAAAACAGTATCACTAGAGGGAAGTGATAAGGGGAAGATGGGGGAGTAATTAATAGGAGAAAGGCTGAGAAAGCATTGAAGAGAATGGGACTGGGGAATTCTGTAAGTTCCATGAGGACAGGACTGTGTCCAAGTCATTCCTAACATCTTTGTGTCTATAAGGGCTCTGGCATGTGGCATGGGCTCGGTACAGGTGTCCTCTGGTGCATGGTAGAGAGCATGGTCATCAGGCTGGAACCAGAGTTCAGCAGGAGGGCAAAGGGCAATCAAGGGCAGGTAACAAGACAGTACCTTTGTCCTGCATCTTTTCTATGACCTTGTGGTGAGCATCTTTTATCTGCTCCGGCTTGGTGACATCCATCTGGAGCACTGAGAGGAAGTTAGAGCAGGTTTTGCGCAACTCCTCTGCACCTGAGCCTCTTTCATCCAGAACTCCAGCAAAGACCATGAAGCCCAGTTTGTCCAAATGCTTGGCTAAAGCATGGCCGATCCCTGTATCGGTACCTGCAGAGGGCCAAGGCAATACAGAGTGAGCTCAAGCAAGTGGCAGGTGAAATTACCTAATAAGGAAAACATCTTATTGTAAGAACTTTGGTAAATGTAACAATGTACCCCTAGTACAATTTTGTTAAAAAAGAAAAACATTATATGTTGTTTATGATTGTCCCTGCTTCCAACAACGGAAGTTTCCTTGTCTACCAAGTGGGCAAATGGACAGAGAAGCCAAGGTAGCTAACTTCCACATGTAAATAAAGGAAGGTGGGATAGAATTGGGGGAGGGGAGGAGTGAGTGGACATATGTGGAAGGAGGAAGTCTGGGAGGGTAAGTGGTCCAGGAGTGGCCAGCTGCCAGAAAACGTGGAAGGAAACCCAACAACATGTAATGTTTTCCACATCTTTGCTACAAGAAAGTACTTGCTTTTCTTGTGCAATTTCTTTTTCTAAAGAATATGCTGACTAGGACAGAGACCAGCCAGCCCTGCAAGTGTAGGAAAAGATGTATGAGAGGCCAGCCTGCCGGGCATCTGTAAACACTGCCCAAAAGAAACAGCACAGAAAACCTTAAGCACATTGCTGTATGATGACAGTGGGTAATGGATATGTAAAATATGCGTCTGAACTCAGAATTGAAAACAAGAGCTTATTCAGCCTAGTGGGGAGGATATTGCAGACCCTGGACAACATGTTTTCAAACTGTAGATGCAAGATGTTGCTGTCCCAAAAATATGGCCATAAAATCACAACCTGATCCATACTGCGATAAACGTGTAACAGTTGGCTTGCATCTCAGCTGTAACCCCGGGAATCATTTTACTGTAGGATGTGCCATGTAGCCTTTCCTGGAAACCCAGAAGAATCTCTCTCATCCTCAGTCTGGGGTCATAGTCAGTCATTCCCTCAAGATTGCCTCCCCATACCTGTGGCCTACAGAGACAGATGTGAGTTAGCCTGAAAAGAACTCAGAACCAGGTTACAGTGAAAATCAGGACTGCAACCACTCCAAGGGTGAGGCCACGTGTTTCATGGAGGGTCCCTCTTGCTTGGTGCTGTGTCACACCTTATGCTTCTGTCATACTACTGGCATCACTAGATAAGTTTAGGCTGTGGATTTTAAAGGTCCTGGTGCCCCTCAAAGGCGTGTGTGATGCAAGGCTGGTAGCATGTTCCCTCTGCATGGAGAGAATCATTCTGTGGTACAGAGATGCAGGTGTGGCCCACCTCCATGCAGCACAAAGCCTCAGCCAGGGCATCAGCTGCTCTCTGAGAGCTGAGGCACATGAGAAAGGCTCCTCTAGCCCTTGGACCTGGTGACCTGGAAGGCACACAAACTGCCACCTGTACCTAAACCTGGATTCCATCACCTGCTCTCCACATCCCGGTGAGAAATGCGAAGTCTGCCCTTGCCAGGCCTTCTCACTTTTGCCCCAGACACTTGGATGTGTTCAGTGCTTTGAGTGTGTGTCCATGGTACAAGAGCCACCTCTGCCCCACAGGGATCGCAAGTGTCCTCCACCCCTTGACCTACAGTTATTGTATCCAGAATCAGCTCCACCCTCCCAGAAACGAGAAGACTGCAAGAGGCCAGGCAATCTTCATTATAGTCTGGCACAAATATGACTTGAATGTGTCCCTCCTAAAATTCAGGTACTGCCAGTGTGATGGCGTTAAGAGGTGGGGTGTTTAAAAGTGGGGTCTTTAAGTCATAAAGACTCCACCTCTCTGAAGGAGATTAAGTGCTCTTACAAAAGGACTCAATGGAGAGAATTCGTCCCTTTTTACCTTCTGCCATGTGAGGAAGCAGCAGGAAGGACCTACTAGACCCCTGATGCTAGAGCAATGACCTTGGACTTTCCAGTCTCTGAGACTGTGAAAAACTAGATTCTTGTTCTTTGTAAATTACCCGTCTGTGGTATTCTGTTACAGCGGCACAAGTGGACTAAGACAGTCAGGAGGACGTGAAACCCCCAAGCTCTTGGGAAAGAGGGTGGTTGCCTCCACCACACATGGACACAAAAGCTGTGTTCTTCTGCCAAGCAGCCAAGGCTCAAATAAGAGCAGTCTCACATCCAGTGGTGCGGGGATGTGCACAGAGGCACAGAGGAGCTGGCGTGGCTCATGGCAGCATCAGTTGCTGGTGAACCTCAAGCAGTGTCCTCACGTGCACACCCTGAGTCACCCCAAGCCTCATCATAACTCCCTCATTTCTCAAATTACTTTCAGCACCTTCCCAAACCCCAACTTTGCCCTTGTTATAGACACCAAAGCTAGTTATTGCTGCTTTGGAAAGCAGTGTGACAGTTCTTCAGTGTTACCAGAAAACCTAGCAACTCTGGTCCCAGATATACACCCAAAAGAAATGAAAGCATAAGTTGTACATGAATGCTTATAGCTGCCTTGTTCACAATAGCCAGAAAAGGAAAGTAACGAGTGCCCATCCACTAAGGTCTGGATGAACAAAGTGTGCCCTATCCATACAACGGAACAGTGTTGGTAAGTAAAAAGGAGTGGAGGAAAGAGACACACTAACAAGGATGACCTTAAAGCATGAGGCTAAGCAGAGGAAGCCAGTGTGGCAGGTAGAGGGATAAGAGCCAGGAAGAGAGACTGTTAGGGTCGGAGAATCCTATTACTCCGAGAGACAGAGAGTCACGCGTGAATGCAATCAACAAAGCAGAGTTTATTGAGCTGGCAAGCCAGGGTCAAGCTCCCACACAGACACACAGGTCCGATTGGGCAGACAAGACCCCGAGCTTCTTTAGGGAAGATCTTATATAGGCCCCTACCGGCCGTTACAGCAAAAGCCCGCACAGTACATAGCCAATGAGTTTGTAACACCACATACATTTCCAGCCTATCCATTTAAGAGTACATTACTTCTTAGCCTATAGATTCAAGGGTCAGTATTCGCGCACACGGTTACATTTAGCAAGCAGGCAGGGCACATCTTGTACGTACTTCTAGTCGTCTTTCACAATCTGCTCACATTCCTCACATTCCACCTGCCCCCATCCTGTTTATCTTATCCTGCACGGGGCATCCTGTGCTGGCTTTACTGGTTTCTGCTATGGGGATCTGCTGGGGCAAAGGGCACATCCTTTCAAGACACTTTGATTGTGACCCCATTTTCTCTGATTACAGAATAACTTCACAGACATTTTATATTTTGAATTAGCATACATAAATAACATGAGGGGACTCGTGGTCATTCCCTATATGCGTGCAACCAGTTCAGCCCCTCCATTGTATTTCCATCCTCCTTTTTTCAGGGCGTGGTGTGGGTTTCATAGTGCTGTCTTCCAACTATGCATGTCTCGTACTTCCATCCCCTTTACCCCGGAGGGCAGTGCCTTGGCCGTGCTTTGTGAGTCTCAGGTCCGCCTGTCTTAGGAAAGGTCCCAGGCGAGCTGGCACAGAGTTGGCAAACTGGGTGAAGACCATAATGAATGCTACCTGAGCCCTGTGATCCTGGGAATCCTCCCAACCTTGGTGTTCTGAGACATGGCTCTCTGCAAAGAATTCCTGTCCTCGTAGGATTTAGATGCGACTCACAGAAACACCTTGCTCACCTGTAATAAGGTCAGACTCAGAGGCTTCAAATCCCTTCTTTGTTTGCCTCATAAATGATTAGCTCAACTGTTTGTCTCATTAATCAATTGCCACAAGGTATTTGGTGACCTAACCTTGGTAAGGATTCTCTCCTTCCCCCAGGTGGTGGTCCACCCTCAGTCTGAGCCAGCAGGGCAGCCACCCTTCTTTATAGCCTCTCCTGAGGGGAGCCTGGCCTCAAGTGCCATCATTCTAATCCTCACTCCTGGTCAACCCTATCTCCCATTCTTTCTTGTTAACTCCTCCCTATAAAAGCGAAATCTCTTTTGCTTAATCCTTGAGATTCTGTCAGAGCACTCCCCAACTTCCTGCAATAATCCTTTGGAATAAAGTCCCTCTTTACTACAAGAGTTGTTTGGATTTAGCAATAAATTAATAAGGCCAAAGTTTACAAGAGACTCTGTGGCTTTTGCTCAGCTATAAGGCAGCAGAGCCTAGAGGCCGGGGTACGAGCCTGACTCTGTGTTCCTGCCTGGGCTTTCCTACCCTCTGCCGAAGCTTTCAGACCTGTAGAATGGGCCCAATGATGGAATGGAATAAGTCAATATTTGTGACATGCTTAACAGTATGGATTGCATTGCTGACTGCAAAGGTCTTTTGCAAAAATTACACTGTGTTATCTGGCTTCCAGGCCTTTGCATACACCATGCTGACTGATAGAGAGTTTGCCCTGATGCCAGGCTGCTGGGTATCTTGGTTAAGAATTCAGGCTGCTTGATTGCCTCTTCCACTTTTGAGCCTTGGGAAAAGTACACAGAACCATCTGGAGCCTCTGCTTCCTCCTGTGTAGGGGGTTCTAATCACACCCCCTATCCTAGAGTGACCTGAGAGGTCATCAACACAGTGTTCTGCCACATGAGAACCAGCACGCTGTAAATATCTGTGACACTGATGTCATTTCTGATTTGTGATGGTGGAGACCAGGCTGTGCTGGCCCCGGGAGGCTGTGCAGGCGTCAGGGACCTTGGGAAAGTATGTGGTTGAGGAGTCACTCCCGGTGAAGATAAGATAACCTCTGTGTATTCTGGAAATACAGAGATAAGGCTGGAGCTGTGTGAGAAGATGGGAGCATTTCACAAAAGTTACCCAACAGGACTGGAGGCATGGTAGAGGGCTTGTCTAGAAAGCGCAAGTTCCTAAATTCAAACCCCAGTACCCCCCAAAAAGAAGAGTTATCCAACAGTGGCTATTGCAAACAATTCTTGGGATCCTCCCAGCCCCCCGGCAGTGGCATGCAGGCAATCCTATACATAACCAGGTTATTGAAGAGGAAACTAAGGCACAGAAGTTTCGGTCTCTGAGCTAGGACATGGCATAGACAATTTGCACCCAGTCAGGGCTTACAATATAGATATCTGGGTACAAAACACTCAAATCCTTCAGAGCACAGGACTGAG